GCCCTGATAAATACAGAAGTACTTAAATCCGTTCAAACTGTGAGTCAATTGTAACAACAAACTCCACCAGTGAGCTTCAGTCATCCCCTAAAATCAGAGAACTGCAAAGTAAATCCTGAAAGTCTCTGCACTTGTGGCTGGATTGGCTCCATTTAGTATTATCTTGGCCAAGTGGCTTCATTTCAGTATGACCCTTGCATGTCTTCTGTTTTCTGGCGTTCCATAATGTGTTCTTAATAATGTTGACCCCAGAAGAACTTTTCAAAAGAGAGTTACACCACAGATTCATTATAAGGGGTGGGTGGGGGGGTGGGAGGGGAAATGATGATTAGGTGTTACAGCTTGCTTGCCTTGTTTCTTTCTTTCTTTGAAGCTTTGGGACAAGGTCTTTAGATGAGGGGATAACGGGAGAAATAAATCCTTGTGCTTCTCTGTTAATGATGATTGATGAGCTGCTGAGGCAAACTAGGTGTCCAAGGCACAAAGCCAGATGTTAATGGTACTTTAATTCTAGAAATTCAGAAGATCTCATTGTAGAAATTGGAAGTTGGAGCAGAAATTATACAGCAAATGAGCATGCTTTCGGGGAATAGCTAATCTAAGTTGGTTGGTTCTAAAGCAGTGTTTGTTGCCCCCTGAGATTTTAGAATATCCCCCTAAGGAAAACTTCATAATAGAAAAAAACACCCTCTGGCAAATAATATGTCTCATAATGTTTTCACATACCAATAAACTGTTGCTTCACTTCAAAAGAGAAATCTATTTCTGTTTCAAAACTTCATGTTCTTACTGGAATTTTTAATGTGAGGAAATATTATAATTAAAGATAAATGATGGTATAAGATAAGAACCATCTGAGTTATGTACCTGCAAAAGATACAAATGAGGATTTGGCAGGTCAGTGTACCCATCTTTCTTGGAAAACTTGGCCATAAACAAGTAAGATTCCAAATGTTCCATCTACATAGCATCGAAGGCTGAGATTCCATTCAATAAATATCTGTAAATATATATTACCTGGGCTGGAGCAATAGCATAGCAGTAGGGTGTTTGCCTTGCAAGCCACCAGCCCGGCCAAGCCGGGTTCGATTCCTCCGCCCCTCTCGGAGAGTCCAGCAAGCTACCCAGAGTTTCGCCCACATGGTAAAGCCTGACAAGCTACCCGTGAAGTATTTGTTATGCCAAATACAGTAACAACAAGTCTCACAATGGAGACATTACTGGACTTGCTTGAGCAAATCAATGAACAACGGGAGGACAGTGCCACAGTGCTACATATATTACCTGATTCTTTTTTCCCTCTTTTTTTCTACGGCCACTAATATAGAAACACTTTTTGTCTGAAGTTGTATACCTACCCAATCAGTCCCACACAATGTAACTAATGATTTTTTTTAACAATACACAGCTGATCACCCATTTCCTTACTTAGGATCTATCTGTCTGTACTAGCATTCTTCCACCTTTTCACACCTGCAGACCTGCACCTGGCTTGTACCCTGGCCCCCAGTAGGAGAAGAATAAGTTACTAGTAATTCAAACTAGACATGTAAATAGTTGTATATGGTCTTCCTTCAGTGCAAATCAGAGGATTCTCTTTTTCATGTACCGTATCTGGTAGTCTTCTGGGGAAGCTGTCTATAAATATAGGTGTGTATTTACCACTCCTTTATACCACCCATGTATGAGGATCTCTTTGACTCCTGTCCCCCCTTTGCTTCCAGTTTACTATTCTTTCTGGTGCAAAAGAATGGTATAGCTAATAATCCAAAACACCGAATCAGCATTGAAAACAATAGATCCAAACTTCAGCAATCAAAATTTTGAACGTGTCTGTCAAAGTGCCAGGCTAGGAAAGGGGGAATGAGTAGGAGAAAACCTGAGAATGCTGATGGAGGGGAGAAATACTGGTGGTGGGATTGGTGTTGGGACATAGTATGTCTAAAACCCAACTGTGAATAATTTTGTAAACCATGTTGCTTTAATAAAAATATTTTAAATAAAATCAAATATGGGTGGATGAAAGCTGTGAAATCCTTCCATTACCTCACCTCTTCCCTCAATGATTTTTTTACCTTTGGCATATAGGCATAGAAAGGCCATTGCTAGGGCCAGGGAGATATCTCAGGACTCAAGAAACACAATGCATGTCCAACCCCAAGCAGAAAATGGAACACCTCCCTCCGCCCACCGAGGTATAGCCCTGGAGACCCTCTTACACTGCCAGCATAGAAAAGTATTTCCAGGAGTGACCCTGGGTCCCCCTGAACATTGCTTTGGAGGCCCCCCAAAGTTCCATCATGTTATGACATTTTTCTGAAAATAGAAAAACATTCACATTTCTGCTAATGCTGGTCACAGACCTTTTCCATCCTATCAATTTTACAAGGTTTCTTGTCTTCTGAAAATTTTTAAAATAATGCTTCCCTATGTTATCTATTGAAAATCTTTTGTTAAAGTATCGCATTTGGAAAACAGTCAACTGAAAACAAACTTCAGGAAACCCAAAATTTAGAACTGATAAAACCAGGCTTTACATATTCATCTCTCATTGGATATTTAGGTTGTTTTCTTACCCTGGAGTAGTACCTTCAGGACGAGAGTTGGACCTGAACCATTTTGAATGATATAGTGAGATTGTTGGATAATATGATAGATCTATTTTTAATATTTTGAGAAATTTTGTACTGTTTTACAAAAATATTGGACCAAGTTACATTCCCACCAGCAGGGTATGAGGGTTAGTTTTTCTCCAAGCTCCACAAGTACTTGTTTTGATAGTTTGAGTGTTTTTCATTTCCTCCCAGTGCTGACCCATGACTTCTTTCCAGCCTATCTTACATCAACCCCACTTTACACTGCACAGGTGTTTCACAGTCATGATCTAGTTTTTTTTTTCTATAACAACCTTCTGGGACAGGCAAGTGTCAGGCCGCACTTTGCAGACAAGAAAACTGAAGACTCCAAAAGAATTGGTTTATCCACTCAGCCAGCAGAGGGGGAGCTTGTGTCTATTCTTTCCAACACTCAAAACACATTACCTTCATGGATATAACATCAAGTTAATCAATCAAGGCAAGTTTACAAATTCCTTGCTTCTTCTCACAACAGAAGTCAAAGTAACCAAAATTTTGTACCTATGAATGCAAAACGGTACCCTGAACACCGTTTTGAACTCTATATGTTTCAGTCACTGTGTCTAACTGGCTTGAAGTTATTGACTAGGCAATTCAAAATTTTAACAGAAAGAATGTTTCTTCCAACTATTGCCTAAATGCTTGGAACATGACATTGCAACATTTTTCAAAACCTTCCCATTTGAAATCTTTTTTTAGCAACTGAATTGTATTTTGGCAAATCAAGCAAAATGTCAGGATCAATTTTGACATCCTTTGTTTGGTTTGCAGACATGACTGGAATCAGAAAAATATTTTAGTTTAGGAAGAGACTCACCAAATGTTAGAGGTGAAAGAAACCTTGGAGATATCATTCTAATCTTCAAAAAGATTGACCAGCATCCCACAGATAATTGTTTGGAATTTCTACTTCATTTGCCACATACAAACATAAGCCTATTTGGCAGAGCTGAGAAAAAAGCTAGCATTAGAAATCAATTGTTGGAGGTGATGGGATTAAATACCAACATTTTTTGTAGTTCTGATAAACAAAATTCTTAGGATTTTCTGTTCTAAAGTAAATGACCACGTTTAAAAGTATACTCTGTACTCAAAGAAAAGCTTCACATTAATTTTAATTATTGCTTTAAAATATAAACACTATGGTAGGACAACTCACGTTTGGCTTATTGCAACACACATCAATGATAGTATATATCAAATAACTTGTCTAAAGTGTTATTTTTCTGGGAGAGTCCCCAAGCTTCACAGACTATTTCAAATAAGCCATTCTGGCCTCTACTTCCATACTGAAATGCTGTCACATTTCAGCCTCTAAGAACATAAGTATCTTTTATTTATTTGCATTTTCATTATTTCACATATTTTTTAAAATTTGTGTGTCATCTAATCTTCACAGTAACTATGAGATAGCTCTGATTATTATCTTGGTTGGGTATATTTGTAAACTGAGATACATAGAGTTTAAATAACAAGCCCAACTTTACAGATAAAGTAATAAAGCTAATCTCAAAGCTCAGATGAACTCTCAAGTCTATTGATTTAATCTTCTTTTTATTGAATTCTTCTTTCTTTCCACACCTGACACTACGCTATTATTCTCTCTGACTGAAAAAAAATGTGCCCTGCACTGGGATCATCATAAAACATCTTCCAGAAATTGTTTCTAAAAAATTCCTTGACTGAATGAAGATAGCTCATTATGGTCCATTTCTACAAGACTCTTGGTTAGAAATTCACACATCCCAGGATGGAAACTATCTTCACATGCTTCTGCTGTCAGTTCCTGGCACATTAATAGAATTTGTTCTACAAGAAAGTAGCATTGTTATGCATTTTTCCATGTGCACGCCTGAATTTTATGTTTGCAGCTATAGAATAAAGCTTCTAGAAATCGTGAATTCCCTCTAACTTACATAACATATAAGGCAATTTACATAAGGATACATAAACTGGGTGGTTGAGTGAGAAAAATTACATATAGCTAAGAGAAGTTAAATGATTATTATCTGAAAACTATTCTAAATGCTGGTTACTCACGCAAATGTGTCTGTGAATAATAGGTGAGGAGGAAGAGGAATTGTGTGTGTATGCGTATATGCGTGTGTATATATATATATATATATATATATATAATTAAAAATATATCATTTAAACCCTGTAATTTAAGTGGATACTACATTAGTGAAATTTTCAAAGTGAATTGAACTAGCAGAAATGTGTGTTTTCATTAGTTGGGTAATTGATGAAGACCCCTTCTTGGAATATCATGGAGCCGTCCATATCTTCTAAAGAATCACCAGTCCATATGTCTCTCAACAACTCAAGAGGATTTTCTAACTTGAATTTTCTTCTCTTTTCCAGATCTTAGCCATCGTGTCTATCCTGTTCATCGTACTTTCCACCATTGCGCTCTCTCTCAACACTCTCCCGGAGCTGCAGGAGATAGATGAGTTCGGACAACCCAATGACAACCCCCAGTTAGCACACGTGGAGGCTGTGTGTATTGCTTGGTTTACCATGGAGTACCTCTTACGCTTCCTATCCTCACCAAACAAATGGAAGTTCTTTAAAGGCCCGTTAAATGTCATTGACCTGCTGGCCATCCTGCCATACTACGTCACCATTTTTCTCACGGAGTCCAACAAGAGTGTGCTGCAGTTCCAAAACGTGAGGCGCGTGGTGCAAATATTCCGAATCATGCGTATCCTCAGGATCCTGAAACTCGCCAGACATTCCACCGGCCTGCAGTCTTTGGGTTTCACCCTCAGACGGAGTTACAACGAGCTCGGCTTGTTAATATTATTCTTGGCCATGGGGATAATGATATTTTCCAGCCTGGTCTTCTTCGCGGAGAAGGATGAAGATGCTACCAAGTTCACCAGTATCCCGGCATCCTTCTGGTGGGCGACCATCACCATGACCACTGTCGGTTATGGTGACATTTACCCCAAAACATTACTGGGCAAAATTGTGGGTGGCCTCTGCTGTATCGCCGGGGTGCTGGTGATTGCCCTCCCCATCCCAATCATCGTGAACAATTTTTCTGAATTTTACAAAGAGCAGAAACGCCAGGAGAAGGCAATCAAGAGGAGGGAGGCCCTGGAGCGGGCCAAGAGGAATGGAAGCATCGTCTCCATGAACTTAAAAGACGCCTTCGCGCGCAGCATGGAACTGATCGACGTGGCCGTGGAGAAGACGGGAGAGTCTGCCAACACGAAGGACTCGGCCGACGACAACCACCTCTCCCCCAGCAGGTGGAAGTGGGCCCGGAAGGCCCTTTCGGAAACGAGCTCCAACAAGTCGTATGAGAATAAGTACCAGGAGGTCAGCCAAAAGGACTCCCACGAACAGCTGAACAACACGTCCTCGTCCAGCCCGCAGCACCTGAGCGCCCAGAAGCTGGAGATGCTCTACAACGAAATCACCAAGACGCAGCCGCATGCTCATCCCAACCCGGACTGCCCAGAGCAGCCCGAGAGGCCCTCTGCGTACGAGGAGGAGATCGAGATGGAAGAAGTGGTGTGCACGCACGACCAGCTGGCCGTGGCGCACACCGACATCATCGTGGACATGAAGAGCACGTCCAGCATCGACAGCTTCACCAGCTGCGCCACCGACTTCACTGAGACCGAGCGGTCGCCGCTGCCGCCGCCCTCGGCTTCCTCCCACCTGCAGATGAGGTTCCCACCCGACCTCACGGGCACGGACGAGCACCAAAGAGCCCGGGTGCCCCCATTTCTCACTCGAACCCGAGAGAAAGGACCTGCGTCCGGAGAGGCGCCCATCGACATAACTGTGAACCTGGAGGCCGGTGGCTCCCCAAGTGGCCCTCAGGGCCCCGGGCACGCGGACGGTGCTTCGGACAGCCCCAAGAGCTCGCTGAAAGGCAGCAACCCCCTCAAGTCCAGGTCACTCAAAGTGAATTTTAAGGAAAACAGAGGCGGCGGTGCCCCCCAGACTCCCCCCAGCACAGCCAGGCCACTGCCGGTCACCACGGCTGACTTTTCTCTTACCGCCCCGCAGCTCATCAGCACCATCCTCTTAGAAGAAAACCCAGCCCAGGGAGAGAGGCCGCAGCTGGCCACCGAGGGGTCCGCACATTGCCAAGGCCCTTCCAAAGGCCTGAGCGTTCGGTTTCCCAAGCAGAAACTCTTCCCTTTCTCATCCCGAGAGAGGAGAAGCTTCACTGAGATAGACACTGGAGAAGAAGATGACTTCCTGGAGCTTCAGGGGACCAGTGAGGACAAGCAGGCGGACTCCAGCCCAAACTGCTTTGCAGACCAGCCTAGTGACGCCAGAGACCCTTTAAGAGAAGAGGCATGTGCAGGCTCTTCCCCACCCCAGGACCCCAGTCACAACTGTAGGCAAGACATTTACCATGCCGTAGCTGAAGGGGAAAAGGACAGTGGTCAAGAAGGGTGCAAGATGGAAAACCACTTGTTTGCCCCAGAAATTCATTCCAATCCAGGAGACACAGCTTATTGTCCCACACGTGAAACCAGCATGTGACTAGTTCCAAAAGCAATAAACACACACATACACACAAATATATGTTTCTTAAAAAATGCAGTTCCAAATACCTGTGAACTAAAAAAAAAAAAGTGGGAAGCCCTTCCCCCCAAAAGTGCATAAAATGTTATTTTTGCATGGCATGAACAGTTTAGTCTAAGTGCTGTTTAAATAAAGAATCAAGACTGCATTTTGTAACAAAAATGACCGAAGAACAGGGAACAATAAAGAGAGTTTGGCTAGGAACCAGTATTCTGCAATGTCTGACATTTTTGATCCTTTCATTTCAAATTGTAGACATAGTCTCAACTTTTAATTTTTATGTTACAATGGGTTTTATAATTTGCACATGAAAGGATGAAATGTCATTGTGTGCATTCATAATTATGAGGAGCAAGGTGCTTTGAGCTTGAGAAATGCATAAACTTGTAAATAAGGGCCTGGGATGCAAAAGTGTCAAGAACATGGAAACAAGTTTCTGAGACACAGTCACTCCTTCACAGCTACTGCCTGGAGGAGCTGTATAGACTTCTTGTTGCAAAATTGCAACTTCTCCTTAAACCATCTCACATATCTTACTTTGGGTGATAAAGTTGTTATAAGTACATTTGTTTAAAGGAATACAGTGTTTTGTTGTGATATTATTCATAGTGTACATTTTTCTTTTTTGCTTCTGCTTACTTACGGAATTATAGTTTGATTCGTGTCATGAAAATACACAAGATTTAATGACCAGATATCAAAACACATAGAATTTAATCTTGAAATTGCGCTAATCATGCCATGGCCTATTACAGAAATACATTTTTAACCTGAAAATATGTCAAAGGTAGCAACAACTAAACCTTTTATTTTTTTATGACACCCTACAAAATTATCTGCACAAACCAGAATTATTGGAAATACTCATCAGGAACTAGAGGAAAGGGTTATACAGAGAAGGTAAAGCTCAAAGAAAGAAAATTGACTAAAACTACATGACAATAATTGGCTATCCTTAGGTATTGATTTTATAACTTTGTGGCATTTACAGGTTCAGATTTTAGTTTGTTTATATGGGCTGCCAAGATAGTAGAACCATGTTTATCTACTGGCCTCCTGGATTCCTTAGTTCAGTTTCCTTAACCCCTGGAAACCACTGGTTTTCTTACTCTCACCATAAATTGGTCTTTTCCACATTTTCATATAATTAAAATCTTAAAACCTCTTCAAAAAATTAAATGAAAGTTGTAAAGTACATTCATATCTATTATATATATTCATACCTATGTATATATTGACCATCTCAAAAAGACTATCTTTTTCACTTATCTCCAATATAACCCTTTCTATCTAATCATCTCAAGGTGGAGTACAGATATGTGACAAATGAGAAATCCAAAATAGAACAAAATAAATACAGAATTATATAATGAAACTACTGCTTTTGTCAGGGAGAGAGCTGGTTTGGAGACCTAGCACAGTAATGGCCCCCCAGGATTGCCTAATGTGGGAAAGGAATATTATATTTTTGGGGGCCCTGGGTGCCTGTTGCACCTTCCAGTAGTTGCAGAACGGGAAGCTTACATTTCCAGCTTCCTAAGGACTGGTCAGATTCACCCCTGTTTAAAAACACATCTAAATGTGCAGGGTAGGGAAGTACTCACCTTGTGGTGGGTTTTGTGCTGGTGATTTGAACACACTTGGTGTATCAAGAAGTGAGGGTTATAATTCCAGACATCTAACTACCACATATATAATTTTGGATGAGCCTCTAATCCTCCTTGATCTGTCATATCCCCCACAAAATAACCAAGTTATTTTCCAGCTCCCTTAAGACTAAAAATTTACAAATTAAGGAGTGACTACAAATTAAAGTGTGTGTGTGTGTGTGTGTGTGTGTGTATAGTTCAGGGAACTTGTCAAGAAAATTCTGGGTCAAAATTAATACGTAGGTTTTGCTTAAAGAAAAAAATACCCTAATTTTAATTTTATTCTTTAAAGGAAAAGAAAACACTGTAAAAAGGAAACTCAAATATTTAGAATCTAACTTCAGGTTTTAAGGAATATCATTCTTCTCTAAAAGAATCTGGTCATTATATCTCAGATAAGCAAAGTTTTTAATCTTAGTTAAAATCTAAACAACACTACTGCTAAAAAATAATTATTTTGTTAAATTCTTTAATGGTTTTCATGTTTTCTCAAAACAACCTGTAAGAGTTTATGGTTATAAATCATTGATATTTATATTAGTCATATGTTAGTGTCTAAAGCTGAATGTTGATCAGTTTTTGTAAATCTAGAGTGTTTGAATTTTCTATATATAGTTTTTCAAGTCTAAAAGGTATATTGCTGTTATATGAATAGCAAATAACTTATGAAAGTCATTTTCTTTACATAGTTTCAGAAACAATTATTTTTAATGTCTATATTGATGAATCTTGGTGTTTTTATTTATCTGTCTGCACAAGTGGATTTGTCTTACTGCCCTGACCAGCCGTTAATGGCCACCTTGTATATGTCTAATAAGCCATCTACTGAGACCACTTCTCCTAAAGACTTAATATTAGAAATATTGCCTAGACAAGGAAGCCTAAACCTCTTCTACCAGAAATGCTTTCCCTTAACTCGTTTTTTCCCTATCATATTTCTTAAATTTTAAGTAATCTCCAAGAATATCTCATGGAAAACTTAACCTTCCATTCTGCTCTACCCCTCTGGGTCAAAAGTCTTCCCCTAGGAAAAAAATGTTATGCTTTTATTAAGGAGTCTGATGGGAACTGAGGACTCCCAGAATGCACTTGTGCAGTGCAGCACTTTGAAGACCTCTTCAATGAACACATGTACGCCTGCAATGGACTGTAATATACCAAGCACAGGGTTCTTTTAAAAACTTATGTTTCACATCAAAAATTTGTGTAATGCTGCATTTTACTCCAAAACACATGTTTCAGTATAAAAGGAAGGATATTTTGTATTACCCACTAGTAAAATTGATACTCATAACTTCACATACCTCTCTTGTACCCCCTGGAAAATACATCCAGTTTGAAAAGCATCGTATAAATGGCAGGAACAGAGATTGGTTCCTGGGGTACACTGTGGATTTCAGCTGCTGGGAAAACCCACTCATTATTACCTAGCTCAGTAACCAGGGCCAAATATCAATGAGTGAAATATTTGAATGAACTCAAAAGAGCACAGTCCAGAAATGGTTCGGTTCTTCTGTCTCCCTTTACAACCAATAAAAATTACCACAGGTTTGTTTTAGCTCAGAGATTGAGTTCAATCATAAAGGGGAGAAATGAGTGCATGAATATATGTCTTGGGTTCTACCACAAATATAACAATTAATGATATTAAGTTAAATCCTGGGGTTGGCCTGTTTAATCTGTAGACATATTCACTAGAAATGTCTCTGCTCTGGCACAACCAATGGCTTTGAAGCAAATATTTAAATAAGTATTATTATGATAGCAGTAGATCTGGTAACAGGGATAAAATGTGTGCCAAATGTCTGTAGTAATGTATTTCTTGTCAAAACACTAACTCTTATGGAGACAAAGGTTGAAGAAAGGAAAGAATTCAACTATTTTCTCCTGGAATGTCAATAGAAAAACAACCCCACAGAACCTTCCATAGGTGGACTATTTGTTTTGTATTGCACTTAATTCTCCCAAATTAAGTATTGTTTATCAATAAAGGACCAGAGAGGTTAAGTTATCTTGAGTTCACACAGGACACCCACTGGTAAATAACAGGACTTAGCCTGCCATATTTCTGGCTTCAAATCAAGAATTCCAAGTACTACAGTGTTTTTAGAGGAGGTTTTTTTACATATTAGAAACTGAAGTTTTGCAAATAAAAGGGAAGATACACTTTCAGTTAAGTCAGTTGTTTCAAACCACAATGCTAATTTCAAATACAAATGCTAATAACTTAAGAAAAGGTTCATGGACCATCATTAGCACAGCAGTTTTTACCAATTTAGAATTCTGGTGATATATCCCAGGGCTAAAGAGAAGTACCCCTCTCTCAGGATGACAATATGACAGACAACTTAAGCCTAAAGGAAGCCATTTGATTTTCTGAAACAAAAACAAGCATAACTTTTTAACTACTTTCTAATTCAATTTTAGAGTACTATCTAGTTGAACCTGTCTTGCCACAGTGCTTTCATTCAACATGACAAGTTGAGCATCCTTATATTCTAGAATGCACTGTGCTTTGTGTGAAGATACAATTCCTGGCCTCACGACTTTCCAATTAAAACCAGACTAAAGATCTTCTGATTATGAAAAAAAGTATTTCTTCTGAGTATAGAAATATCATTCAATTATCAAATCAGGGAAACATATGACAAGAATAAGTGAAATACTTTTCCAAAAAACTCTTAAAATTTAGAATTAGGGACTGAAGCGATAGTACAGAGGGTAGGGCATTTGCCTTGCACTTGGACAACCAAAGTTTGATTCCCAGCATTCTATATGGTCCCCTGAGCACCGCCAGGAGTAATTCCTGAGTGTAAAGCCAGGAGTAACCCCTGTGCATCACCGAGTATGACCCAAAAAGAAAAAAAGATTTAGAAATATGTTGCAAATGGAAGTCTGGTGTGTAATTATTTTTTGTCATCTTTTAGATTTTTGTTTGAGCTAGCAAATTGTTCATCTCAGTGAGTTATGGGATTTCTTTCTTTATTATGTGATAAGTTGAAAAATAATTTTTCAATTAGACATATTGCTTGTCAAAATAGCTCATGATTAGAGCAAAATTTAATATCAGTGAGAACATCTGTTAAAAAAATTTTAGTGAAGCAAGTTAGTTTTTATTGAATAAAATTTTCTTAGAAAAATGTGAGAGGAGAAAAAGAAAGAAGTACAAGTTCAAGGGAGAATGTGAGGAAAAAAAGCATAGATTCAAACAATTGAGATACAAGCAAGGGAGAAGATGGGCTTGAAGATTAAGCCAAAAAAAAACTATATGTTTAAGGCCAGAGAAATAATATTTGTTTTGAAATCTTGCCTTGCATGTACTGACCCTAGTTCAATCCG